GTTATTTACGATCTAGCTTTGACTTTTTGATATGTTTCATTCGACAAGAAGGTTAAGTTGTGTGATTATAAGGAGAAGAATTTGGTTCATTTCTTGCTATTAGATTACGACCGCTAAACAGCAGAATTTGCCATTAAGTAACAGATCACGGTTTTTCTTTGCTTTGAAATCATTCCTAGCAAAATTTATCCGACCGGTAATAATGTTGGGTTCACATTTAATGATGTATCCGCAGAGAAAAGGAGGTACAACTTCAAAGGCATTTGATAGTCTATACTCTCGCTCAGCGAAATAACATATTAAAAAGGGGGAATTTCCTTAACTAGATATTTTTCGATCAAAGTCCCTTTGCCCCAAAAAGGAGGAGAGCCTTCGATGATGGCATTGAGGAACATTGATGGTAGCTAACATAGTAGCCTCAGCCGCGATGAAGTCTCTGAACACTTTTTTCTCTTAATAATCGCCTTTTTGATGTTAAACGATGTTCTTTCGGACACAGCGAGGTTGGCTTACAGAAAAAATCGCTCCTAATTCGTAGCTAATACTGAGGGTGTAGAGCTTTCAAAGCAAAAGGAGAATCCGATTATTCACGCATAGCAAATTTATCAGAGGAAGAAGGAGCGCCCGGCGTAGCCGGGCGAACCCACAAGAAGGAGGGAAGCCTGGCGTTAGCCGGGCGGCCCGACTGGTAACAATAATAAACTAATAGGTAACTATAATAATAACAATCACTTCAATCACATGCTAGTGGGACATAAAACGCTCAATTGCGTTAGATCAAACAATATAACTTCTGATCAAAACATGGTATGTATGAAGTGACATATTTGTTTTGATTTTCAGTTGCGGTGGTTCGACTTTTCACGTTTCCTTCCAATAGTGCTTTCCACTAACATTTACGCATTTGAAATAATCCAACAAAAGTACCTTCGAATAATCAGCAGACGACGTTTGTACGTCAGCGTTCCTGTTGTGTACCTATGCAGGTCGTGGGTCAACCACGTTTCTAGAATAGGCCACAACTGATGTCGCACTCGCCGATAAACAAAAGATTTTGATACATTGACCATCTGAATCACAACCTAAACAAAGCCATAACTAGAAACCTCCTCCTAAATAACTCGATCAGAAAAGCAAAACTAAGAGTCTACATAAGAGGAATCGAAAATAAAGTTCTGGATAAAAAGTCGGCAACTCCTTTACATGCCAGCCCGAAAGATATTTCACAAAACTATATTGAAACGTTTCCTTACTTTATATAAAGCGCTCGCGTCTGTCTGTCCGTCTGTCTGTCTGTTTGTACGGAAATTCATAACTCCTGTCCCCGTGGACCTAGGACGTTCAAATTTGGCAGGAGCACAGGCGGCAGGATAGGAACACATATGGTGGGTGGCAGGACCGGACCCTGCCAACAGGGGGCGGGGTTTGTGCGAACAAAGTGTTTGAACGGAAATTCACAACTCCTGTCCCCGTGGACCTAGGACGTTCAAATTTGGTAGGAGCACAGGCGGCAGGATGGGAACACATATGGTGGGTGAAAAGACCGGACGCCGCTCNACGGAAATTCACAACTCCTGTCCCCGTGGACCTAGGACGTTCAAATTTGGTAGGAGCACAGGCGGCAGGATGGGAACACATATGGTGGGTGAAAAGACCGGACGCCGCTCACAGGGGGCGTAGAAAACAAGATTCAATCACCAGTTGAATCCTAGCGTCTTTGTTGTTTACGATCTTGCTTTGATTCTTTGATATGTCTCATTCCACAAGAAAGTGCACTGATAGGGGCAGATTATGAAATTTGGTTCACTTCTTGCTTACGACCGCTACCCAGCGAAATTTGCGATTCAATGAAGGGTCACGGGTTCCCTCTGCTTTGATATCATTCATGGCAGAATTTATTCGACCGCTAATAATCTTGGATTCACATTTAATGATGTAGAGAAAAGGAGCTACATTCATAAAGACATTCGGTAATGGTATTATTATGACTCGACAACATTTGTGAATACCATTCAAGGCTTTGAATGCCTACCGGTTTAATCTTTAATGGGTCATTATTTTTAACATCATAGCGACAGATCGAGACAGACAGAATCTAATCAAAGGCGTAGCCATCGGCACTTTTGGAATATAGTTTGCATGCCCTATTGTTCCTCTATCGAGCTTCATGTTCCAAAAAGCATCATTCAGTGCTTTAGCAAAAGAGTGTGCTGTTTGCTGTTTATCACAACTCTATCATAAGAAGGAGGGAAGGCCGGCGTTAGCCTGGCGGTCCGACTGTCTCTATCTGTAGAGCGGTAATTTTGTATGTCTGTTTGTATGCCCGTTTGTGCGTCCTTCCCCACGTGGGCACAACGAAGAGTGCGAATGTCAAGTGAGCATGGTGGGGAAACAGTTATCAAATGGGAAGTGAACAGATACTGTTCATATTGGTCCTCTAACAAGTAAGCGGTAGTGGGCATGTGGTGCGCGCATTAGCGTGCGTAGCCCAACTGGTATTACATAAAGTAGGGGAGAACCGGTCGTCTTCAATTACCACTTAGAGAGATCTCATACAAAGGGACACTGCTAGAGGAATACACTTGAGAAGTTTTTACCACAGCCAGTCCGCACTTTTCCACAGTTTTTGAACTAGTAGGTTGTGCCTTCAGTAATGCCTACCTTTCCAACAATATTCAAGTCATCATGGTTTCATTTACAGTAATGTTTATTGAGTTACATTATCTACAATTGTCCCTACCCACCCGCTTGTGGACACCTTTCTTCCCAGCTTTCTGAAGCTTTTGACGGGAATAATGACTGCTCATGTTCGAGATGATTGAGATCTCTCGAATGTTCTTGAGCTCTAAGAAGAGTATGCTTCCAATCACCGGAAAGCAGAGACTTCCTCCGCTGCAACTCGTCTTCTGGGGATGGTCTTGATTATCGAGCTGCACTCATTTTGAAACGTCTTTTTGTCTGTCTCTTTTTAGGAAAAAAATATGAGCAGTTCCACCTGTAAGAAATAAGTTCTAGACCACCCTAAAATCATTTAATCCGTAATCTGGCTGCATGGACTGGTTTTCCACCGTCGTTCGTGTACGTTGTAGCCAGCTCCATCCATAGTGCCGCACTCATAGGACTCCCATTGTTTTTCGCAGATTTTGCAGTCAGGTGCGTAATTGCGAACCATGTTCGTGAACAACCTTGCAAACTATTCCGTAAATGTTGCACTCAGTTTCGTAACTTACATAGAGTGCGATCTGTACATCTACGCCATGTGCGAAGTGTGAGGGCTACGGATGAGAAACACCTCTATCTGCCATACTACAAGTAGCCAGCGACTGATTCACTATACGCCAAGAACGACGTCTTCGAAACATAACACTTTTGCCAGTTCCTTGATTAACAGTTTTTGGTTTTCAGGAGCAGGGCACCGAACACTTACAATGTTCGCATTCATGCCGTTCAGGATCTGGAGGTCCACTCAGTTTTTGAATGAAGTAAAAAAAGAAATAATTACAATGTAAGTAAAATGAACAGGTATATCCAAGCAAAAAAAGTGGTATTTGCGAAAATGTTAATAAAGATTACAAGATTACTAGATTACTATAAATACGAAACTGATTAAAAAAAACTCCAAAATAGAATAGGAAGACTGCAAAATTGGCTGCAGCATGCACGAAAGAGGTGAAAACCCTGCATTTATTTTAGTTTCACAAACTGTTCGGCACCAACCAAAATTGTATGTGCAACAAAGCCACGAGTTGGCGGTATGTTTTGAAGAGCACGCAGTATCTCAAAGAAGTTAGGTCAAAAACGTTGACTGTTCATCTCTAGAACTGTGGATATGATTCGGGTCGTTGCTCTGACGACCATCAAAATGATTAACAAACTCGCTCATAGTCAATAACTTTCTCTACTGGTACATAGTAACATCATCAGTGACATTCTATTGGTCACTACGTCCTGTAATAGTACTAGCACAGCTCTTTCTTCGCAACTACAGGATTCTGTCGTCAATGATATGTAATAGAGGCTAAACTTGAAAACTCACCTAATGAAATAAGAAAAGGGAGGAAAATCTAATTTCCCTAGAGACTTGTGGCCGTCAGGATTCATAACATCCTCAGGGCTTGGACCTTTTGCCGCTCGAAAACAGAGCACAGTATTTACCTTCATAGCTTCTTGATGCACTTCTAAATCCTTGTCTGAAAACCTGTTGATCAGCGTTTCCCAGTTTTGATGCACCATAGGTAATAAAGCGTCGTCGAAATTCCGAAGTACGTATAAACCTGAAAGTATTATACTGTTATCTTCAGAACTACGGGTAGACTTTCAAAAGACTTTTTAAACGTTTTAACGGATGGATCGTTAATCGTATATTCTTAGGCAGAGTTATCACTTCAACGGTAGTGTTCATAAAGTTCAACATAATTAAAGGATGGCTCAATCACTTTCACCCATTTACATTCTTCTAATGTTCTATTCCCANCAATATTACTCCTCCAATCTCACAGTTAATGTCTGATTCTATGTCTTGATAGAATACCTGCTTTAATAAGATAACACTAAAGGACTATCTTTCGATGAGCCGGGTGCCATTCAGTTTATTTAGGAGCACTGGGACTAGAATCATGGTCGCATTTTTATATAGCTTGATCGCTCGCAACCAACTTTCTACCGGGAAAGTAATCCTGACGGTTTTCACGAGCACCTCGTCATCAATATTGGGGTTCCGCTTTCAGTTCGAGTTATCACCATCTCAAGAAGCTGTTGGTGTCGCTTTCATTTATAACGTCGAGTAACTATCCGCGTGGCAACCATACCGGATCGAGAAGGGATAGGCAAAGCGACATTAAGAGCATCAACAAGTGTTTTCACTGTTTCATTTCGTACCAATAATGTCTTCTTGTCTAATGACTAGGTGCAAGCACTGGTGGTGCTGGTTCATCGTTTGTTGCTGAGGACAGCACGCCACCTCAAATAGTAAAAAAACACCATTTATAAAAAAACGTCTGAAAACGGAGTCCTTAAACGATAAAACATTTAGATGAGGAGCGTTTGGAAGAGGCTTAGACGGAAAATAGTTTTCCCAAAGAATGCCATGTCCAGTAGTAATAGCGCCATCACTGTACTATCGAGGATGATAAGATCACGCGTTTTAAAAAGAGCCATAAATGTTGCGAAATGCATCAAAGAAGTTGACAGGATGTACTGTGGCAATCAGTAATCAGTACTGAGAGCTGTGGCGTGGCGCACAATCCCACGCACGATTTGGGGTTGAATCAACGATTGATGACAACCAAGAATTCCATCTTTTCTGGATCAACTCAATGGTATACGAGTCTATACAACTCGTCTGGTAGGATGAAACCATTGCAGAGTGCATAGACTTATGTACATGTACATTATGTGAAGAGAAAGTCTGCTTAAATGTGACTGATAACAGCTTCTCCAAGTCGAAGAGGAACACATTCGACAATAATTTAATTGAAAAGTTTTCGATGCTTATGAAAGGATACAAGCTTTTGTGTACAGGTAAATATAAGGTAGTGTCCACTTGGGCGTCAGCAATCTCTTCTGGTAGATGAGTTCATACTTTAGTCTTCTATCCGAGTCTCAGAGGGGTTCAAATGAGTATATGGCCAATAGGATAACATACTGGGATTCAGTGCATAAAAAATTATTACTCATGTAGTCCTATTCAGCTGAATGAGGAGGTGCTCCTCATTTTCATTTAATTAGGCTTACTCTGCAGTATCTTCTTTCAGAGGTGAACTTTGGCATAGTTTCCAGTAGTAGAAACTTTCTTGTTTGTAAAATATTAATAGTACACTATCTTCCCTCTTTGGACAGTATTAGTTTTAGAGAACTTGGAAAGTGTTTCAGAGAACTCGGAAAGACTAAGAGTACTGATCAGATCTCGTAGTAAGCCTCAATGAGATTGATTCCGATAGAGAAATTGAGTTACTAATCGGACGCTCTAGATCAGTCAAACCGCAACATCTATGGTGCTACAGCAGTATTTGTCCTAACTAGAGTTCTACCTTTCAAAATTCATCAGATGACTTGGAAATTCACAGAAGCATCATCTTCCTCTAATCCTCGGGAAAAATGCTAATTGGCTCAAGAATGTAACCTAAATAAATTATGACGGTATAGCGAGAGCTACTGTTCGACGTATCTCCTGGTTTTCACTACTACTCAAATACTTGATTAAAATTCTATCCTCATTATTCCGCCTTTTTCTCGCATAACTAACCAGTATTTACATCTGATTGTCATCTCTTAAGCATCCATGTTCGACTCTCGATAAATCTTAACATAGCTTTGCATTAATTTTATAAGATTTTTATAAAACCTGCTGCCAAAATGGTGAATAACTTATTACCATAACTTGTTGAATAACTTATTTACCATCTTGGCAGCAGGTTTTATAAAAATCTTGTAAAACTAATGTCATCTCTTACTATTACTCATGGACAAGCCTGAAGAGATGACAGACTTTGGTTCATGTGACCTAGAGCCAAATCGAACCAAGATAGAAAAAAATTCTTTCCAGTTAGCTCCTTACCATTATTTTTCTAATTTCAGTTAGTTTCTAAGTGAATTTCTTCATGGTTCATTACCTTCATGAAGAACTCTCATTGCTAACAATCGTATAGGAAGATGAGACGATGACATGAGATGCTTAGTCCTGCAAAAATTCATACATGCATGTGAAAAATTCAGAAAACAAAACATGCACCTCAACAAAACGCGCTCGACATCTGCTATGGGTGGTGGCAATGCCTTTCTTTCCGTTTCCAAAATTTCTTCATTTCCATTTTCAATAGTACAGCTCTCTGCCTCAAAAAGCAAACATGCGAAGGGTAACGTTAGTCAGAAAACACATTGTCGTACCATTTCCACCGGCTTCATATCAGGAAACCATCTGCCTATGGCCATCACGAAGGATAACATGGAGCGCATGACCAAGATGCAGAAATCCTAGAACCCTCTCTTTATTACACGGAGATGAGGAAAAATTAAGAAGATACCTGCTGGAATTTATCCAGTGCAAACAATAAGTCCTCTATAATATGCCTCACACTGCTGTACAATCGACTATCATCTACTTTATCCAGAAGAGCTCTGAACACTACAGGAGCTCGGTTGCGATCAGAGCGAGACTGAGCGGATATCGCGACACGATGAACGATATACGACCCATGTGTATGAAGGAATTCAGACACCGACAGACCCATAGTCTAGATTTATAGAAAGATAACATTAGTGAAGAAGCTCTAATTTGAAGAAAACTTTGAATAAAATCATTAACCGTTGCAATTTGAAGAAGTGCACAATCCACTGCGTCGTGCACAATCCACTCATTAAATGCGTAAAGCTCCAACAGTTGATAAAGAAAATTGACAAGTAGCTGAAGTGATAGGAAACCATGATTAAGAGTAGGGAAAGAGAGCCTTAGTTCAAATCCTATATATCCCACAACAGAAAAAGCACAGCGATCTTGTAACATGTCTCACCTTCAACTGCTTACTTTCTTCCGCAAGGTGCTTAAATGCAACAGCTATCAATGACACTAAGCTGATAGTTAAACTCGTCTCCTTCGAGAGCGTAGGAATAATATCTGAAACCACGTGGTAAAATCAAACTTTCCCCTGAAACGAAACGTGCAATCTAACCCTCCTCTGAGATGCACTCTGTATTCGAATTTAAAAATAATTATCCAGTAGTAGCCTTTAAAACGGCGGTTAACCTGTGCAACTAGCTACGTCAACTCATATACTGTCTCATATTTTATCCAGCGTACTGAATTACTTTTTTCTCTTGTATGACCCAGAGAAATACATATACACTGATTCCAGAGGAATTGAAGGCCCCGTTGGCTAAGTTGATTTCAATTCCGAAGATATCCGCATCGGGCAACAAGTGTAAAGTATAAGTGTAAATTAGTTCTTTTAAGCAGGATGGAGTACACCCACAAGATGAAGGTTAGAGGGTGCATGTTCGCTCATGTGACATGGCAATGAGCTCGCAACGCTCAACGATTATGTTTTTCTGCCCATCTTTCACAAAATATGTATTTGATTATACTCACGTTCAATGAGGTCGTCCCGGCAATGAGGAGATGGAACGATTCCCTTCAACCATTCTATACACGTTTCAATCAGTGTAAACAACACATACGAATCGGCAGTAGTTTCCATTCCAGCAAGAATTAAGGTGATGAGGATCGCCAAAGATGATCTGCCACCCTTCTCACTGCTTACCATCTCGGAGATCGCCAATTCCACCACATGAAACAGCAAGATAATAATCCAAATCATTCGAAGCTTAATAATTAATTCGATTACCAAATTAATATTGGTGCAATATATAAGTATTTCAAAGCCAATAAAATTCATGCCTTCGAAACAAATTTCGACAATCTTCAAATAAGCTGCCGAGTCTCACATTAACTGTGATGTTCACACGTACAGGGCTCCACCGCTACTGCTAGAGAACCTTGGAATTACTTTTTCCACTAGCATAACAACAGCAGCAATTCATACTTGATTGACGGGCCTCGTTTTGTTATCCCGAGTACTTTTGCTGCACAAGGCGATGTATATTTTAAAGGAGAGTCAACACGTTGGTCAAAGGTTCGAACTAGAACGGCACTCTAATCCGAGCTTCAGTAGCAGAGATGCGGGTCATAGTAGTAGCGCCATGCTGAACGCTACGCCTATCATTTAGCACTTGGCTATAGCATCTGTAGTTATATTTGCTCATGTTCACTTGAAGTGCAACAATGAAGAGATAAAAAAGTTCAATTAGAACGTATCATACCTCGGTTTTTCCGTACACTGCCAACAACCTACAAATGGGGATAACAGAGGAAATCACCACGTCGGAAGAGAATGGCAAAGCTTTCACGAAATCTAAAATGATTCCGTTCTCTTGTTCTCTAGTAAGCCGACAAAAATAAGCACCATGCATGAAATGTTATAGGAACGAAACAAGTACAACCATATTAGACATGAAACCGTAATATCTAGGGGTCGAACCCCTAAATTCTACGGTTTCTTTCACAATAGCTCGCTGTACATCGAACGTGGTCTGTNGAGCAGGTCAAGCAAGGGGGAGATTGAGGGTAGTCGACAAATAAAAATCTTATCCTATGCGTATCCTTATCCTATCAGACACAGCTCGCGAAAAGGAATAAATGGAGTGAGGGAGTGAAACTATTTTTAAATCGGACGTTCTATACACCTTGTTGAAAGCTCAACGAATGACCACTGAATGACACTACTTGAACTTCCTAGCCGGGGCATTCACAATAACTGACGGAAGGTTTACTTGTAACTTTTAGTTTGGTTCTATCGAGACCGGGCGTCAACGATTCTTCAACGATGGAGGAGAGCACTGAAGTGACGAATACAAATCATGCCTAAGGTAGAAGGTATGCAGATACACGCAGCTTCGAGGCGATGAAGGGAATTCATCTTGATTTGTAATTGAGGAACTTCCAGCAGGCGGTGCAAATGCTCTTCCCGGTCTTGGCGTCTTCTGCCAGAACTGCTACTATTCCTTTTCCAGATCTTTCTTTACTGCTTTCCCAAAGCTTCGCAAACTCGAACTTAAGTTGACGACTGCCTGTAACTTGTGCGAACTAACGCTGGGGTACCAGCTCGAATTTCCGAATAGAGACATCTTTTGGCGAAATGTAGACTTTCGGCTTTCCTGGCACTATCGTTAAGATGTTCAGCGAGCCGGTTGTCAATGAATCTTCCAGTAAACTCGCAAAACAAGCGAAGTGATTCCAACTGATGACGCTCTATGGGTTTCGTCTCCTAAACTTCGCAGCAGGATGTGGGTTGACATTATAAATTCGGACTATCTTCCACCCTGCTCATTCCATTTCTTTTTGGGAGTCCTTGAATGAGGCTCTTCAGCCGTTCTTGAAGGGCCAAACCTGGCATGAAATCCCCGACGATGATCTTAAAGAAATGTGGACCTCTCTGAAGAGTTTCACATAGGTCCATATACGAGGGCTATTTCTCTACGCATACGGGGAAGGCGAAAGTATTGCTGTCTAAATAAAGCTAAGTGAAACGGCAGTCGATAACTTGTGATTTTGTTCACAAAACCAGCAACTGAATAATTAGTGCTTAAGCGAATGATAAAGTAGCCAGATGGCGTTAATTGGTCAAATTACTGTGTTGATCGGAATGTTTTTGCCGATTTTGAGTGCACTGTGTTGATCAACTCTTTTGTAAGAAGTCTCTGAAACAACCCTAACAAGTTATGTTTTTGAAAAGGTAAGTACTCCGCTACACTTTCATCTAGAGTATGTTAAAATTCCTTGTGTTTGTTTAGAGCCGGCGTAGACGTTAATGTAAAGATCGAGAGCATTCTGACACATATTACCTTCCCTTAACCGCAAATGCAACAGAGCAACTCAAACGGCGAAAAAATGTTATAATGACGGGACTATGCTCTATCGAAACACACAGTGTGTGACTGGCTTGCAAAGTTAAGAATAAGTGAAATCACTCTTAAAAACCGGCATATGCTCAGCTGATAAAGACAAATCAAAAGTGTTTATAGGAACGAATCGGCGCACTAGTGCTTATGAAATAGCAGCGGAAAGGCTCAATATGCAAAATTCCCCAAGACCATCAGTGAATTTTTGTTGGGTGACCGCTTTGATGTCTGCGTAACTCGCAAGCTGACTTCGTTTTTGTTTCCGCGAGGGGTTCGTTGATTAAGCGTAGCTAAGATCAACTTTTTCTGAACCGCATGATAAAGATGAGAAGTGGGGCATGTACGAGAAAGTAGAACGGAAACTGAGAAGTACCGCTAGTCACAAAAAAACCAATTTCATACGCTGAATATTGGGCTCTTCTATTGAAGGGAGTTGTCATTTTGAGCTGTTACCGCATAGCCAAACGATGCCTTCTGAATGATATTGTGCAAAGCTGTACAGTTCGAAGACTGCAATTGAACAGAAGCGCCCAAAACTAGTCATTCGTAATGACGTGGTCTTCCATAGGGGCAGCGTCAGACCCCACGTAAATTTGACTACTGGTTCGAAAGTAACCAATAACCCGAATCAGCAAAAAAAATTAATTCGTGAGTAAGACAAAAGCTTAACAAAGAAAGGCTTCTTAAACAAAAATTTAGAAAACAGCGTTGAGCTGCGAACCTTACCAAGAGAAGAGTTCGTTGTAGAACTGCGACTGATAAGCAGACGTTGCTCATCTATACACAAAGAGGACCCTAAGGCAGATAATAATAAACACAATGTCGGAGCTTGACCAGATGCGAGCAGGAAGAGATCTTCTTTCAGGCAAAATAGTACCGATTTCAACTGAAATGATATCGAAGTGATATGTACATGGATTCATACAAAAGGTAGATTCATAGGTTGTTAGGTATAGAGGAAAATAATAAATAAGCTTCAGTTCTCAGCATAGCCTCAGAAAGAAATAATGGCTCGAAAATGATTGGTGCAGCGTCATGTTCATGATTTATGTCACCTTTCTATAGGGGGCGCGGAGAAGCCATCAAGGCTTTGCGATAACACCACTTACTTAGCCAGCACGCAAAAAAATTATTAGACAATGCTTCTGTGCCAAACAGGTTTTTAAATGGTGAAACATTTATCCGTTTGATGTTTCGACGAACTCATAATTATCGAAAGCCTGGAGGCGTTTGGGAACTTCAAAGTGTTACCTATCACGCTTGACGTAGACCAGCTTAACTAGTTTCAACTCAGACGATGAAATTCCAACTAACTGGTAAGTAGAAAGTCCAACAATTCACTCACGTCAATTCCACCACCACAGAAGAGATGCTCTCAAAGTTATCTAAGGCGCTTTCGCACAGAATTATCTTCGATTGCCCACCTCCATGTAAACTCCGGCCACCATTAAAATTTGACAAATCTTTCTTTAGAGAGCCTCAACCAATTTTTACCGGATTCCAGAGCGTCCCGAACAAAGTCAATTCAAGAGCAAGCTCCGTCCAACATAATTGAAGCTTGTTTGAGCCTCCCTTTGCATAGCGCACCTTGGACTTGGTTCAATTCGACAATATTTTTTCAGCGTTCCAGGCTTCTGTAGAACCCAAGTTGTAAACTTGCGTGGAATGCACCGCCCATTTTGTGAATGCCTCGCCCACCGGGGATTACAGTCTTTCGTCTGATTTGTTGACTAAGTCCTAACCTCTGCCCATTTTTCTCGGTCCTAAGGCTTCAAAAAATTTGCCTTTGACACCACCCACTCCGGTGCAAGTCCCACCCCCTGTAGTCGAAGTTCCACTTCGCTCATATGTCCCCTACTTATTATTTCGTATGTCCCACCTATCTTAAGATTGACCCAATTTCTATGGGTGTTTCTTTAATTAAGGTCGTAATTGTGAAAAACAAACAAACAAACAAACAAACAGGCACGCTGTACTTGTGGTTTACATATAGTGAGATACAGTAGTAATAAGATATAGAAAGCTTATTGGACATGTGCATGCACACTCCTCAATCTAATTTCAATGACCAGACAAAGCAAGACTTATTGCTTCACAGAAAATATTCGGTTTGGAGGAATATAACAGAAGTATGTTGCCACAATAATTTAACAGTCATACCTGACAAAACAACACGTCTACGTCGGTCGCCTTCTTCCGTACATTCAGAGGTATTCTTTCTGCAAGCTCACGCAGCTTTTCATGCAAATGCGCAGAAAACTTCGACGTATCTTCCTCTCGTATTTTACAGATAAGTTCGCTAAACGAAAACAGTTTGCATCCAATTAATCAGTGGGAGTATACATAACGCCCAGCGTGAGGAAGGGAAGAACCACCCCGAAGAAATGATTGTCACGGTCACTTAACGACTATTTTGCGTTGCCTCTTGCAACGACTATTTTGCGTTGCCTCTTGCTGTACAATTGGCGTGATAGGAGAATTTAACGCTTCCATTGCAGAGCGAAAAAGGAAAATTTGTACACGGGAATCATGCTTTTTGATGGAATAGAACAGAGTTCAGATGAGAAGTGGATCATTATCCTTGAGATCCTCTCCAACAAATTGACGGAGAACTGAGCTCTAACAACGTTCAAGGAGATTGCAGATGGTCACCGTATTCTGAGCTGCGCTTGGAGCGGTGTGGGATTTGGTTAGGACTATATAATTAATGCACTTAGGAGCAAAGCGAATCAGCGAGGTAAAGGAACACAAAGGTCATCATACTGCTCACACATCGTCATTAGGTGTGTGAAAAAGGAAGCAAATAAAGAGGACAGAGAAAAGGCGAAGCGCGTAAAAGTGTTTTCAACAAATAGAAATAATAATAGAACAGGATTATGATCGGAATTTTGGCATTCATGCACAGGTGATATGAGAATCATGGAATGAATCAGAATTTGTCATGTCTTCAGGTAAGCTTACAAAACGATGATAATGATGGGTATTGTGTTGTTAGGCAGCCCACTGGACACCCTTCAAGGATCCAGTTCGACCATTTCATACTTTTGCACGGCTTTACGAAACTTCTGCACTTCAAGGAAAGGTCATTAAGAGCTATTCAAACACAAACCATCTAAGAGTATTTTTTCAATATGTCACAGTGCCTGCACTCTTCAACAGCTTTGCACCAGAAACCTCGGATTAAAATCTAATGGATTAGTAGATCAAAATGAAAGCAGAACTTGACGAAATTACCAGCTGAGTGGACTGTAATAAACACTCACAATCAGATGAATAGTGCACTGAACAGCGGCGCAACAGTTTACATGACCATCGTCCCATTAGCTCAATTCTAGGGGTGAGTTCACCCCCACCTTGGGTAGTGAAACTTCCCTTCCACGAAAACCGTTTGCGGTGATCCTTCCTACCCACCGTGGGCGTTAAACATATGGCCGAACATCGTCATTACCCGACCCAGTCGACAGAACAATTGTCAATCTATGCCGAAGTTGGGAAAACGATTTATAATATAA